GCGCTGTGCCTCATGGCCGATGAGCAGCGCAGCTGCAGTCTCGAAATAGCGCAGCAGGGAGTCTCCAAATTAGCGCAGCAGCGAAGTTCCTGAACCAGCATAACGCTGGATTTCTCCTAGTACCTTCTGTCCCCAAACTGGGCAACGGCCCAGCTTAAGTAGCGCTGGGCCAGGACTGAAAAAACCCACGGCCTGCGTTCTGGGCCGTGCAGATCGAAACTCCGATCCACGGTCCAGATCGCAGGCTTTGAAACTGGTTCAGTCCTTGGCCTAAAACGACCTGCCTGGGTCCCTACCAGATGTCCAGGCCCTGTCCAGGATTCAGTTTCCTGGTACCTGGCTTCAAACCGGTCCTGTGCGGACGTACCCGGCCTCAACGTCGGCCTGGGTCCGAACAGGTAGCAATCTGTTCGAAAACAAAAGAAAAGGTCCAAACGGTTTTAGGAGCTCAGCCTCTGGGCCTGAATCTGGCCCTGGTCCTAAAACGTGTACCTGGCCACAAAACGGACAACAGTACAACCRTTAGAAAAACAGCAGCAAATAAATAAATAAAAGAATATAAAAATAATCTAAAGCTGGCGTTTTTCGGATGCAGGCCCAAGCAAAAATGCCATAGGGCCTTCAGGTTGCGGTGATGCAACCTGGGGGCCCTATTCCAACCTCGGGTCCCGTGAGGGGCCCGTGTGTAGGCTTTCAGCATGTAACACCCACCCATCCACCCATCCACCCATCCACCCATCCACCCATCCACCCATCCACATGCAGCCTTATGAATCGGATATTAGCACATCATATTACTAATATAAATCTAAATCCCATCCACCCATCCACCCATCCACCCATCCACCCATCCACCTGTGTTTCAGTCTATCCATTCATCTGTCCGTCTATCCATTCGTCTGCACATCTGGCCATCTGTATGTACTCTCTGTCTATCCATTCGTCTGTCCGTCTATCCGTCTGTCTGTCTGTCTGTCTATTAGAGCTGCCCATCTGTTCGTCCATCTGTCCATCTGCCCATCTGTCTGTCCGTCGGTACGTCTTTCGGATCGATAGTTTTATTTTTTTTCTTGAAAAAGAAACAATATCTGAAAGGAAGATAAATGGATGTGTGTCTGTCTATCCGTGCATCTGTCTGTCTATGCTGTCCGATTATCCATTCGTCTGTATGTTGATCCATCCATCTCCCCGTCTATCCATCCATCTGTTTACATGGTTCATCTGTTAATCTGTCGGAACGCGTCCATCCATCTATCCATCCATTCGTCTATCTGTCTGTCAGAGCTGTTCATCTGTCACCCGTCCCGCCATCCATCTCTTTTTGTTTTCTTTTCTCGTATCCTCTCTCTCTCTCTCTCTCTCTCTCTCTCTCTCTCTCTCTCTCTCTCTCTCTCTCTCT